TGAGGTACTGCACTGTGTTGGAGACTACACGTGTAGGCCCTACAAGACCTACTATTATTTTAGTACCTAGTCTGCCAAATAGGCTAGATCTAACACCTTTGAGTGTACAACAATACCTCCAGGCAGGGAAGCAGTGGGGGGAAGATGGGTGTTCAATGTAAAGTCCAACCCTAATGGGGAAGAAACTTATAAAGCCAGATATGTGGCAAAGGGCTTTTCTCAAATCCCAGACATAGATTTTCAAGAAACATTCTCTCCTACGGCACGCATTACGTCTGTCCGGACGCTAGTTCAATGTGCAGTCCAAAATGACCAAATGATCCATCAAATGGATGTTAAAACTGCTTATCTCAATGCACCAATTGACTGCGAACTGTATGTAGAACAACCTGAGGGTTATGTGAAAACCAATGGACAAGGTGAAAAACTTGTCTGGAGATTAAAGAAATCTCTCTATGGTTTGAAACAGAGTGGAAGAAACTGGAACAATCTTCTCCACGAACACTTGATAGCTGATGGCTTTGCACAATCATTAGTTGACACATGTGTTTATGTCAAAGATTCAGATAATACAAATGAAATGTGTATTGTCCTTGTGTGGGTAGATGATATTTTGCTTGTAACCAAAAATGATGCAGCCATGACAAACATGAAGAATAGCCTTAACAAGCATTTCCACATGAAAGATCTAGGTCCCATTTCATGGTTCTTAGGTATTGAATTCAAACATGAGAAAGACTCCATCTCAATGAGCCAAGCTCAATACATAGACAAACTGTTACAGAAATTTAACATGGAAAGCTGTAAACCAAAACAAACAGCCTGTGACATGAGTGTCAACAAACTGCTTAGCCAAACAGAGGATGGGAAGAATGAAATGACAAAGTCAAAGAAATACAGGGAAATAGTGGGTAGCCTCATTTATATCATGACAGCCACTAGACCTGACCTATGTTTTATTGTTACCAAGTTGTCTCAACACTTGTCAATGCCAAATGAAACACACATGATTATTGCTAAACATGTACTGAGATACTTGAAGGCCACAACTGATCAAAAATTGACATTCAGGAAATCAGTGGACAAATTGACCTTATCTGGTTTTTGTGACTCAGATTGGGGAAACTCTGGAGACAGAAAAAGCATAACAGGCTACTGTTTCACACTTTCAAATGAAGGTCCACTTATCTCTTGGAAGTCAAAGAAACAGCAAAGTGTCGCACTATCTTCTTGTGAAGCCGAATACATGGCAATGTCTTCTGCTACGCAAGAAGGAAAGTTCCTTATTGCTTTGATTAATGACATGATGAATCTAGATCTAAGTAATTTCACACTGAATTGTGATAATCAAGGAGCTATCGCTCTGTCAAAACATCCTGTTCAGCACCAGAGGTCTAAACACATAGACATACGCTACCACTTTATCCGAGATGAAATCTCAAAAGGTCTAATGAAAGTGCAGTATGTACCCTCTGAAGACAATCTGGCAGATGTTTTCACAAAGCCTGTACCTCGGGTTAAGGTGCAGAAATTCAAAGCCCTGCTCATGGGCGACTAAATATTGACATCCAATGAGGATCAGAGACCCATGACACAATGAATTAAAATATGGAGTGAAATGTCTTAATTAAGATAACTAAGACTATGATTGATATATCTAGATCTAGGTGTACCATTATTGCTATCTCATTGTGTGTTGTCATTAATATATATAGTCTATGTGATTGTTATAAAACATTGCTATGATTGTTGGATATATGGTTGTTAGTTTCTAGATCTAGATATGAACCTATGCCATATAGGCTTAGACTATTTATGCTATGACATGATGAATGAGTCTATGATGACTAGAGTCAGATATGATTTTATACATGTTGTCATTGATATCTTCTAGACAAAGTCTAGATTATCATCTATCATTGTTCTATTTATCATTGTTCTATCTATTATATCTATCACTGTCATATCACTCACTGTATATCATTACGATTGTTGCCTTGTAAACTTCAATGATGTTTATCAGATTCAGCATGCAACAAGCAGAGTTATAACTGTAACCATTAACTTGAATTGTAGACTTTGCCTTGTAGTTGTAGTATTTAGCAGTCAGATTATGCTAGTTTTTGTTATAATCCTTAATTTATACGGTTTAATAGTCAAATGACTTTTGAGTTTGTTAAATCGGACCTAACAAGTTCCAAGAATCGTACAGTTATCAATGTGCATGTTAGTATATTTGTATTACTACATTATGAATTTGTTTAATCCTAACAACTCAGGATTTAAGTGGGGGTGTTAGACTATTAGATTGCTTTTATCAATATACAGAAGGGAAACAATAAATCCTGGATTGTTGGTCCCTATATTAACATGTTGAATTATGTCCCTGTAATTGTACTTTTATTTATCTACCCTCACAACAAAGATTGTCTGATCTTAGTGATCTTTACTCACTCCTCCTTCCTGTTTCAATCACATGTACTCATGCTCATTATGATTTATTTAGTCTTGTCAGTGAAGCCAGAGAGGGCAGACCTCATATTATTTTCATCATTAAATTACCCTTCTTCATTTAGAAACGGAGTTCTTACTTTTGCTTTATTATATACAATAATGGCAAACAACCCCAGTGCAACACCCTCCCACTGTTGACCAATAGGTACCAATTTTCAGCTGCTGGTGAGGTAGTGTGATCCCTCATACCCCATAAGCCCTGCCCAGAACTCATACACAAATCATAAGTGAGGTGAGTGGTCACTGTTTACCCAGTCTGTAACAAAGTAACAATATGAACTTGTGACAGAAGCGTCGCTCGTTCTCCGAGTGGTGGCGACTTATGTGTTTGTTTGAACATGGCACTCGGTCTTCCTCAACTGATACATATCGTTATATTGTCACCCTTGCCCAAAATCAACAACAAAATAAAAATTACAAACAAAATAGAAACCAACAACAACAACAAAATCAACAACAATGCGGCTACTTTCGATTGGGACCTCAGAATGATGGGATTGGTTGATTTTCTTCATCTCGATTAGCCTTGCCTAAGACGGCCACCTGTCTTATACGGCCACTTTTCTCCTTGACAATGGGTGGCCGTCTTACACAGGTTTGACTGTATAAAGCCAAAGAGGAAAAAACAAGGGGAGGTCAGCGGTAAAAAGACAACACTACCTTTTTAAGCTGGTTGTTTCCCTTGATACTTACACAACTACACAGTGAAACTAACAAGAGGCAGAGGAGGGGGGGGGGGGGGGGGGGGAA